TATATATATATATATATATATATATAGACACACACACACACATGTAAACATCTAAAAAATGTCTTCCCAACTGAAACCCAATAATGAATAAAACGTTTTATCGCCATTTAGTTGTAGTAGAGTATAGATTAAAAGGAACACTTGATTTAATTTAATAAATCCAATCTATTTCATTTTCTTAGCCCACCTTTATTTCCATTTTGAGCCCAAACCTTTATTTAACCTTTTCCATTTATTTCCTAAGCACAATCCATTAATCAATGTATACACCAACCCTAGCCTAATACAAACTTCTAGAACTCCTAAAATGCGTCAAATAATAGCCCAAACAAATAAATTTCTATAGAAAACATGTAAGTATAAAAAATCGGATCGGAAATTCCGATCTGGCGCACCACGAGAAATTTGGCGCGAGGCGCTAGTATGCGCTGCGTGACGCAGGCTTTGCTGCGTCACGGTGCTCCTTGCCGTATTACGACACTTGTTTTTGTAATGCAACACTTATTTTTGGCACGCCACATGTTCAACAAATTCTATCTTATTTTCTGTTGGCTTTCATAGCGTCCAACACTACGCGGAAGAAAAACCCGCCCAAAACCCGCTCACTAATTAAAGCAACTAAGTATTTAATCACATAATTAACAACATAAAAGAGAGAAAGATAAAAGACATTCTTACCCTTGACGAGTGTTTCGCTCGATTCACGAGTTCTTACTTCGAAGCCCGAGCCTCGCAAGTGCGATGACCTCCTACGGCTCGCACCCTCGACCCCGACCCGAACGGTCTTAGTCCCGAAGGTTAGTCGGGACTTGACCAATAAAAAGTAGAGTATTACGAACTTAAGGTTTTCTCAATTTACTAAGGAGATGCCTTTTTAGTTCCACTCAAGTGTTCTTCCCAAAACCCAAAACTTGGGTATTCATAGGGAATAGAGACTTGATCTCCATTCTACCATCAATGTGGGAGATTTGCATTTTCCTCTATTTTATTTTAATCAAAACAAAATAAAAATGCAATTTAATCAACAAGATACAAGTGGCATAAGGAGGGAGAGAGAGTAGGCGAGGACCACCAAGGGGGGACCAACTCAGCTTGCTCCCCAAGCCACCAACCACTGGTCCCCACACAAAAATCGGATCACTCCACCACTTGGCTGGCTGGCAGCCTTCCTTGGTTGCCAAGGCTGCCAACTGGCGCCTAGCACCAAGGCTGGGCTGTCCAGTTAGCACGCCTATACATGCGTGCTGCTAGCAACCCTATGCATGCGTGCTACTAGCAAGCCACGCATGCTGGGCTGATGTCTATGCGCTGCTATGCGAGGTGCTGGGCTGCTGCTATGCGATGCCTAGCACGCATAGCGTGCTGCTGCTTGGTGCCCCTACGCTGGCACGCAAGCACAGCATGAAGCGATGCTTGGCCCAGCTTGGCTAGCAAGCACGCACAGCCTAGCACTTGCATGCGCAGTATGCTGCTAGCATGTGCGATGCTTGGTGCTAGCGATGGCTGGGTGCTTGGCCTAGCATGCTAGCAAGCACACAATGCACCATGCTTGCGATGCTTGCGGGCTGTGCTAGCCCATGCCTAGCATGATGCGATGGCTGGCGCAGCTATGCTAGCACCCCCAGCCATGCACAACCACATACACCACACATCCGCATGCACGCATCTTGCAATGCTTGTACCATGCGATGTGCGTGTGCTAGGGGCTGTTAGGCACCCATGATGCGCATGGGTTGGTGACCTCGCCTAGCCTAGCATTTTCATGGCTAGGCCAATGCGAGGCTACGGCTAGGCTCAAACTTGTCGCTTGCTTGATTTCATGTGATCTCGTCGAATTCTAAATTCGACTCAACTTGCGACGCTCGGTCTCAACGCTCTAAGCTCGATATCCGACGTCTTTGTTCGTAATACTCTAATGACTCATCTAATCCTTCGGATTGATTCATCGATTCGGATCGGTTATTCGATTGGGGTGCGACCCGAAGGGTTTAGTCAAGATTAAGCCGTAATATTAATTATGCATTAATATTACTGATCGGAAACGGCCTCCACCTGGCATTCCGATCACTTGACCTTACTGAAGAATTAGCTTTCTAATAATTCCGAACCCTCTATCGGAATAATACACTTGTTGGAAGGACACCCTTCCTTTCATTTTCCGACTCCGACCTTATATATTTTGTGCTCTATCCAAGGTAACTGGCAGAGTTAAATTTCGATTTTGGACTCTCATATTCTACTTTTCTCTAATTTCTCTTCTTTTCAGGTTATTATCTAATTTATTCTAATTATTCACCATTCCTCCTTCTAGTGTTCCTAGACATCAATTCAATACTCGAAACTCTATCAGCGGTTCATGGCGTGAAATGTTAATTAAACTCTGAGGGTTTCAAACCTAAATTAAATTCTTAAGGTCTTTTTATTACAAAGTATATATAAAATTCAAGTTGTTTTACTTATACACTTCGTATAAAAATATACTTAGTAAGAAGTAATTCTTTATTTTAAAAATTTTGTTAAATTATCATAAAACTAAATTAAGGTACAATTGTAATTTTTTCATTTTTCTGGGATTTTGATTCTCATTTATGGATGAGAATTTTATTGATAGGATTCTAATAATAATAATTGGGAAGGTGATTTAAATTCATATGGGTTTTGGGTTTTCATCAACTCTGCGATCAAAATATCAGCGCTAATTGCGAAGGTCTCTACTTGGAAAGATGTAAAGATATCGAAAACACCGCTCACGTCAATTAAGTTTGAAGCAGTGGAGTGTGACCTATGCCAAATATGCAAAATAGTGATGGTTTTGATTGTAAACGTTACGTTATTATTTTCTAAATCTATGATTTATAAATCTTTAATTTATTGTAAATGTCCGTATAGATTACATTAATGATATTATTATTTTTGCAAAAACCGTGCGTTGTACGAGATTAAAGCTAGGTATGAATGATGAACCTTGCCTCAATCGGGGTCTAGAGATGTTCAGATTCAAGCTCCCTAATCAATGTAAAGTGATTAAAGACATGCTATAAAAAGGCCAACACAAAAGTAGAATAAGTGTAGAATATCATGACAAGAATGCAGTAAATCAAGAGATGAAAAAAAAGTATATATTAGCAATTAAAACATGGAGAAACCTCTTACTACAACAATCAAATATCAGATTTCAGGTATTGTGGTCATTCAGTAGGTTATGTACCCTGGGAAATAAAAAATGTTGATCACCAACCTGGAATTCTGATTCCACAGGAAAACAATCCAACAAGTATAGTTGTTGAAGATGAGCAATTATATGAACCTGAAAGATTATGATCATACGAAAGAAGAATTGCATCAATTGATAATACAAATAGCTAATGTTCAACCAAGGTGTCAAGTGCGTAACAAATTCGATGCATTCGTTGCTCCTACCTATAATGTTGACTCATCCCAGCCACAAGCAGGACAATTTAACGCGGGTGTAGAAGTTAGAGATCAAGCTTAAAGAAAAATACTGATGTATCAATGCAATTGTGAACAGAGAAAGAGGGGGGATGCCATTTTTTTTGTAAAATAGCGAGCAGGGTGGAAACCAGCATGTCGAAATGAAGTGAGAAGGAAAAGGATAGTTCCTATACAGTAGAGAGGCTAGAATTCATACTTTGAAGCCTCACTAATTTTCGAGTTGTAATATGTAATTCTATTAGGTACGCCTGCTACAGAAAATTGGCAGTCCGATTTTTTCTTGGATGTCATTAAATTCATGCACAACATGAGACCAACTCAAGTTGGAGAAGCATATCAACTGTGAGTAAACTACAGATTGTGTTAGCATACAAGTATTATTTTAGTTTCTACATGATCAAGAACACTTTTACCTCGAATTTTTTAAGTTATTATTTTGTACATTCAATCATGTAGCAACAAGCGTCTAATAAATCAATGTTTATAATTTCATCTAGGAAGACTGGAAGTGGAGGCGAACCATACATAAAATGAACCTGTAAGAACTGGAGGCAACACATACATAAAACAAACTTTACAACTTAAAAGCAACAAACTTTACAACTTAAAAGCAAAGCTGATAAGAAAAGAAAACAAAGAGTGAGTGGAGAAAGTATGGAAAAGAACTCTTCACATACCAGGAATGGAACAAAGAAAGCTAAAATTGTCTTACTAAAAAGACAGCAACACAAGCCATAAAACACAAACAAATAGTTAAAACAGCCGAATAAGCTAACCAAAACAATTAAAACCATCTTCTGCCAAGACCTGCAGCAACTCATGACAGTTTCAAACTTTCAATGTTGATATTAATTTTCCCATAGGATGTATGAGATGAAAGTATGAAACCCTGAAAGTCCATTGTTCTCGAGGTAACAGGTTAGTAAAAACAGGACAACCAACAGATAATTATCCTCTACTTACGCTACCAAATCAATAAAACATTCTAAGCACAGTTCATGAAGGGTATAACATCATTTTAGAAAATGCAAAGTTTTTATTCAACAAGAGCTACAGGATTGGGTTTTGATTAGCCAGTTGCCCAGTTCAATCGCCTTTCCAACCCCTACGATCAACATATTCAAGCGACTGAAAATATCATATTCAACTTAAAAATATGTACTTACGATTGCACCTTTAAAAGGACAAAAGAAAAAGACAATTTTACTCACTAATAAACTCGAGTTTCATTTCTTTTTACATTTTCATTTTGATGCCCTGTGATATTGTATTTTCAATTTAATATCCTAATGTTTGTATTGAACTTCTTGTCCGAACAAGCACAACCAACATTACGTAAGGAATATCATAAACCTGTGTTCAAAGCAAGACAGCTCACATCGAAACATCCAAAGCAAACACATAAATATACATCAGGTATGCCTTATAGTAGATCAATGACCAAAATTAAATCATAATAGCTATAGACCAGGGCACCAAAATGAAAATTTTCCTACTTTAAATTTGTCATTTGAAATTGTAATTTTTCAGACATAATGGAGAAAACTATTATAATTAGATAAAGGTTGCCCTCTTTATTCGTCCTCCTATTTTTTTTTTTTTTTAATCACCCCTTAATTAGATGAGATGAACAAATATATCCATCTCAAAAATCTGTTTATCATTAATGGAGGATATGCAAGTAATAGCAAGAAAGGAGTTCAACTATTACCCTTTTTAATTCAATAATAATTTAAAAATAAAAAATAAAAATACATGACTTCTGCTAAGACTTATCATTCATATGAAGCAATTCGAGATGTTGAAGCTTGGTCTCCAAAACCTCGGAACAAATCTGCCCCATCATGTAGTAAAACGACATCATATCAGATAGCTGTTCGATTGACATCTTCCCTATGATTGACCTTGCCACTTTCTCCCTCTCTTCCTTCAACTTCAGCTTCTTATAACCATGTCCATTCCTCACAGTTGCACCCATCTGCCTTAGCCTATGTTCTTGTTGTAAACTCAATACACTGTAAGCTGTATTTTCCTGTTCATGTTCATTTTATTAATTAAAATGTGTTTGAATCGGATTATAAGTTAAAAGAAGCAACAAACAAACAGCTCTTGTTTGCTGATATATATAGTAGCTCAAAGTTAGCTGTCGTTACCTCAAGGAATACTGCGCCTGGTTCAAGTTCTGATTCCTTGACAGCAACAGTAGAGTTCCGCCCTGATATATACATGTCCTTCGCAATTGAGAAGCTTCGTACAATCATTCTTCTCTTGGTTTCCTGCTCTTTGTTAAGCTTTGGACCCTTTGGCACGCTTGCTTGACTGCTTAGCTTCTTCTGATAAGCTATCACAGCCTTCACAAATTCCTGCAGTCCATCCAAAGTATATTCAGTACTGATAATCTTAACAAGCACAATATTTCCTCAGTACTTCACAGTAAAATCGACGTATTCTATCATTCCAGTACATTATAATAACAACCCACAAGGCCATCTCAACAGCAAGCACATGAAGATTATAAAATGACCAAAAAGCTGAGGTTACCTTATAAGCGAAAGGGCAACCAGGGTAATCAAACTCATCAGAGGAAGGGTGTCGCATTCGCTCTGGATGGAATTGCAGCCCCATAATGAACTTGCCCTCTTCTGGATTATAAGCATCAGGGTCATAAAACCCTTCAATCAATCCATCAGGCGCGAAAGCCATAGGCACAAATCTCTGCGCCAGCTTCTTAACACCTTGATGATGGTAGCTATTAACCAAAATCTCCATATTATTCTCTGCCAAAGACTCCTTAAACCAATGATGTATAGGTGTATTCTCCACCACGTCCACCGCGTGCCTATGACCATCATAATCGTCGTAGTTAATATGGGATACTCTTTGGCATTCGGGGCGTTCCCTGGAGAGTTCTTTCACAACATCTTGGTAAAGAGTACCACCACAAGCAACGTTTAGGACTTGTGATCCCCTGCATATTCCCAAGTAAGGTATGTTCCTTTCAAGGCAAAGCTTTGCAAGGGCTAGCTCGATTGAGTCTTTCTCTTGATCGATAGCTGTATCACTTGCATGTGCTCGCCTTATCTCTTCGAGTTCTTCAGAAGTGAAGTTTGACAGTTCAGAATCATAGTGAGAAGGGTCTATATCTTCACCTTCACAAAGGAGTACTCCATGAATTGGCTCAAAGCTTTCGAGCAACGTTGAGACACCACTAACTCTTGGGACAATCACAGGTACTGCACCATAGCTTACTATAAGGTCTAAATGGTATTCCCCTGAGTAAAAAAGTGAACCAGTTATAATATTTTTTCCAGAAATGACTTAAAACTATAATAGAAGTTATTCAATAATTCTCCAATAACTAACAATGTTACAATATGGTGTTTACATTAGAGTATATTCGTATAACATACTTTGATGAGTTCAATCACAAAAATTTAACTCCAAAGTATAACATGTTTATGCCAAACTTTTTTCAAGAGATATCATTCAGTAATCTAGAGTATGCTAGACTCTGACGAGTCTAGATTCGAGTAAGGGAAAACACCAACCGAAGGAACTTTGGTTAAGACGGAACAACTCATTAACTTGCTTTGTTGATCCAAACACTTAAAGAGTAGGTGGACATACATCAAAATTCCACCAAATTAAGAGTTTGATCAGTACATTTAAGGCATATTCCAAAATTCATGTTGGCAAAGTTGACCAAGTTAGATGCTAAATTTTTTTTATCTTATTATATTTTTCATATTAAATCAATTTGAATTATCTTTCCTCACAATTTTCAAAAGAAAGAAAAAAGTACAAACCAATGCTTTCATGTACTTAAACCAATGTTCCTCAATAAAATAAAGAAAAGTACTTTCCCAATGAGGTTAATTTTAAACAGCATTGACCAACATACTCAACAATACTCTCTTTAAATAATTCACATCCCTTACAACTGCTAACTTCCTCAAATATAAGAGAAATAAATTTTTTACCGGTAATACTCAACAACACCACAAAGTACAAACTACAACTAAAATAATTTAATTTAACAAACAACCAACAGATTTCTAAATAATACTTCATATGTATAGATTAAAAGTTTTTCATGTGTTGATAATTATCATCTCAAAAAAAAAAAAAAACTTTTAGAAATTAAGATAGTATTTTGTAATCAACAAAAACAAACATCAATTATATCGTTATAATCAAGGAGAAAGAAAGGACGAACCTACAAAATCGACGAACTTGTTCTTACGCACAGTACGGCGAGAAACAATGAGAACCCTTGGCAAAATCATCGAGAGATCCGAGCTTACTTTTTCCGACGTCATTTTTTTTTCAATACCAAATTATGATTTGATTTTAATACAAAAAAAAAATTATGAATGATCGATCAATCTTTGGTAAAGTTTATAAAATCTTAAATTCTAGATATGGATAGAAAAAAAAAATGTACAAAGAAAATCACAATATTCCTTTCATAACACGAATCCTCGAGATAACAACGGATTGTTTTAATTAAAATTATTACTCCTTTTGTTCCACAATAAAAGGCGAAAGATTTAGTTGTAGATGAGATAATAAGATTAAATTTTTGGAAGAATAGAGTTTTAGGGTTGAAGGAAAATTTTAATGGGTGAAAGAAAAAGAAAGCTTAACTACTCAAAGCTAGATCACGTTCATGAGTCGAGTCGCCGCTTCTTTAATAATGGAAATTTTTTGGAATTTTTTAGTTTTTTTGTGAGATTGACATTTGTTTATATATATGCACACATGCAAATATGGTAATTTTCTTAAATATAATGATATTTTAATTCTTTCTTAATTTTATAAGATTACCAGCTTTATCCTGGCTGTGTATTACAGCTTGGAAGTCAACGATGATTAGATGCTGAGGTGGAATTTTAGATTGAATCCCAATTTTTTATCATTTTTTTTCTACGTGGTTAGACATACGGACAATATGGTGTATCTAATCTGAGGAGGCCCACATTTCTCTATCTCTATTTGTTTTTGTCGTAAATTATTCAATACTGATTAGGGGATTTTTCCCCACCAATCACCATCTGAGAAGTGGACCAATCAGGTTCCGCCATGTGTCCGTCACATGGGCCAATAGGAGCCTGCCACGTGTCAAGCAATGATCCGTCCACGATGGACCAATTACGACACGACACGTGTCCTTCCCATGACACCTGGGATAACCGGTCACCTCGGCCCAACTTCCGTGGGAAGCCCAATCAGCCCAAGGTTAACCTAAACCTAGATTGACACGTTTTCCGAGGTTATAAATACCTCCCTTAATCCTCATTAAGAGAGATGACGCAGATTATGCAGATTACACACATTAAACTCTCTCACCTAGAGAGACCCAATCACTTTAATTTCCGTATTAATTACTCCTTAATCAAGTACTAACTTGACCGTCGGAGGCGGATCTCCAATCATCCGGAGCATCCGTTTGTTTTGCAGGTACAGGCGTCCGGTTCCAGTCTCGGAATTGTAACTCTCCCGCAGGACATCAGAAAACCCCGAAACATCTTGGCGCCGTCTGTGGGGAGAGTACTTCTGAGATGGCATCCACGTTTGTACCGGCTCCTGAAGAGAGACGTCCCCTGGACGACCCTCTAGTTCAGTCGGACCACGATACTGAGAATGAATTTGAAGTTGAAGCTCACACAGCTTCAGACGGGACCCTAAGGGCCCGACGTACCCGTCATACCGAAAGGAGGGAACAGGAACATCTTCAAACTGGAAGCGAGCCAGCAGGCGCACCGCCTGTTCGGCAGCAGCCGACTGATGGGTCTGCTCCCATCACAAGGAACGAACTCATGACCTTCATGAGGGACTTCAAGGGAGAAATTCAAGAGTTGATCAACAAGAAGCCGCCTGCTCTGGACAAGGAGCAGTCGGCTAAGAAACCCTCCACTTCACGGAAGAGGAAGCCAGTTCAAGGGCGAGAGGCGACCCCTCATCCTAAATCTAGGAAGTGGGAGCCACCTGCCCTTGATTTCAAAAAATACCGTTTTCCTACTCCAGGAAATAGGAAACCTGTTCGTCATATTCAGGCGGACGGGTCGAGGAAAACATACACAGACGCTCGGCTACTGCTAGAGCAGAAGAAGAGTGACCGATTGTCAGAGTCGGCCTCTACTTCAAACTTTCAAGACAGTCTGCGAAATACCTCGATGAGGCATACTCAGTCGTATCATGAGAGTCAGTCAGGCGGCACCTCCCGTCAGTCCGGCTTTCATAGCGACCAGGCGGTACCAAACTTATCGTTTGTACCGCAACAACAGTATTTTTTACAACCACCTCCGTTTGGTGGACATGCAGCCAAAAATGTCCAACCTATGGACTGGCAGCTACGGTTGCTTAGACTTGGTGAACAGCCGTCGGCCTTCTCCAAGGAAATTACTGAAGCCGCTCAGCCGGTCAAAGTGAAAAATGTATTAGTAGGCGCCTATGACGGCACTACTAACCCAGAAGACCATCTGATGGCATTCACCAACCTGATGTACCTTCAAGGGTTGGATGATCCCACTTGGTGCAAGTGTTTCCCAGCGACTCTCAAAGGAATCGCACAACAATGGTTCGGCAACCTGCCGACTGGTTGTGTAAATAACTTCAAGACGCTTGCTTACTTATTCACCTCCAACTTCGCCATGAACATCCCTGCGAAGAAGACGACCCTTGATTTAGGAACAATTCAGCAGGGCGAGAAGGAGGGGCTTCGTTCTTACATCAGGCGGTTTAACCTGATGAGAATACAGATTCAAGGGTTACCGGATGAAGTAGCCTATACTGACTTTTTCAGAGGTCTCAAAGACGGGTCGACCTTCAAATTTGATTTGGTCCGAAAGAGGGTGGCGACTCTTCAAGAGGCCTTGATTGAAGCGGAAGCTTATATACAGGCGACTGATCTTTGTAATATGGTAAAACAGTCAGACGGGAGAAGGTCCGACAAAAGAGAAGGACGACAGAAACAGTCGTCAAACAAAGACGAGAAGAGAAAAGAGGTCTGGGCGGCTGATTCCTCTAAACAGCCGGCCTAGAAAAAGAAAAAAGAATTCAAACCATACTCCCCAAAGTATGCGTTTAACAAGGATAGCCAATTTATCCTAAAGGAAATCAAGGGACGGATCTCAATTGAGAAGCCGGTCCCCATGAAGGGTTCTGCAAACAACCGGAACCAAGAAAAATTCTGTGATTATCATGAAGATGTTGGTCATCACACCAATGAATGCATCAGTCTCATGCGGTATCTGGACCGCCTGGCTGAGCAAGGTAATCTTGACACTTATGTCAAGAAATCTACGGGGAACACTTCCTCGAAAAAGCAGTCGGCCAAAAAGAATCAACAGGCCGACAGTTCCGATACAGATGATGCAGTCGTCTACACCATTGCAGGCGGCTTCTCAGGAGGCGGCCCCACTATTAGGGGCAACAAAGACAATATCAGACGGTTAGATGTAAATTCCGTTCACCAAGAACGACCCTCCAAATATTCATTTCCTGAGATTGTCATCACTGAAGAAGATCTAGGAGGGGTAAGAGGGCCGCATGACGACCCTATCGTTATTGAATGTAAAGTGGCCAACCAGAGAGTTGGCCGAATCCTCATAGATACCGGAAGCTCCTCGGATCTCATCAGTAGCAAATGTCTGTCGAAACTAAAATATCAGACTGATTGCATACATCCGGCATCCCACCCTTTAGTAGGGTTTGGAGGAGGAGTCGTCCACCCAGTGGGACGAGTGGATTTACCCATCCGCCTGGGCGAAAAAGGGGAAGGACGACACATGGTAGTCCGGTTCCTGGTAGTAGAAGAACTCTCGGCCTACAACATGATTCTGGGACGACCAACCCTGAATAATTCCAAGGCTGTTATAATCCCATCTCTTATGTTGCTCAAGTTTGAGAGGGATAATGGAACATTCGGGTCCCTAAGGGGAGATCAGAGGATGGCCCGTGAGTGCTATCTCTCGGATGTCAAGCCCACTGTTATGGCCACTGGGTCGAGCGGTGGAAAAATAGACCTTGACAATGTCAAGGAGAGTGCGCCTGTTCAAGAAGCAGGCGGCAAGAAGAGAAAGGCATCCCAGACAGGGGCCGCAAGAAAAGACAAAAAATAGCAATCATTGGCAGAGGAGCGGTCGGATGAATTCCGCCCTCAGCCAGCTGGTGAGCATACGGACCTGATCTTAGATGACTCGCGTCCTGACAGAACAATCAAGGTTGGGACGACTGCTCTAGGGGACCTGGGTGACTTTGCATTCGAAGTCCATGAAATGCCAGGCATTAGTCCTGATCTGGCGGTACATAAACTGGTCGTGGATCCGAAAAAGAAGCCGGTACGGCAGAAGAAGCGGAACCATGGCGAAGAAAGAAGTCAGGCGGCAGCCGCCGAAGTTAAAAAATTACTTGATGCAGGGTTCATTCGGCAATGTTACTTCCCAGACTGGGTTGCAAATGTGGTGCTTGTTAAAAAGCCGAATGGCACCTGGCAAATGTGTGTAGACTAAACAGACTTAAACAAGGCGTGCCCCAAAGACAGTTACCCTCTGCCTAAAATTGATAACCTGGTCGACTCAACAGCCGGCCATGCTTTGATGAGCTTTATGGACGCCTACTCTGGTTTCCATCAAATTCCTTTATGGGAGAAAGATCAGGAGAAGACGGCCTTCGTCACTGATCAGGGGTTATACTGTTACACGGTCATGCCGTTTGGTCTTAAGAATGCCCCGGCCACTTTCCAGCGAATGATAAACACTGTGTTCTTTGATCAGATTGGGAGAAATGTCGAGACATATATTGATGATATGATTGTCAAGTCTAAACTTCAGAAAGATCATCTGTCGGACCTCCGAGAAACTTTCGCCACACTCAGGCGGCACCATGTCATGCTCAATCCCAAGAAATGTGTCTTTGGAGTTGAGTCTGGGAAATTTCTCGGATTCCTTATCAATTAGAGAGGAATAGAGGCGAACCCTGAGAAGGTGCAGGCGGTCATCGACATGCAGTCGCCTCGTACCATCCGAGAGGTTCAGAAGTTAACAGGTTGTCTGGCGGCCTTGGGATGATTTCTAAGCCGATCAGGCGACAAATGCCTATAATTTTTCCAGGCAATTAAGAAAAAGGCAAGGTTTGAATGGGGGTCGGATGCTGAGGCGGCCTTCCAGAAATTGAAAGTTCACTTGCATTCCTTGCCAAGGCTGGTCAACCCTTTGCCCAAAGAAGTACTCTACATGTACCTGGCCGTCTCTGATCATGCGTTAAGCGCTGTTCTCCTTGCTGAAAGAGACGGCTGTCAGCTCCCGGTCTACTTTGTCAGTCACGTACTGAAAAATGCCGAGTTGAGGTATCCCTTAGTGGAGAAATTTGGTCTTGCACTCTTCATGGCTGTTAAAAAATTGAAGCCCTAATTTTTGGCACATGCAGTCGTCGTGTATACAGACCAACCTATCAAGCGGCCACTGACCATCATGGAGTCGTCAGGCCGAATGATCAAATGGGCCATAGAAATACAAAGCCTCGAAGTTACCTTCGAGCCTAGAAAAGCAGTGAAGGGGCAAGCCTTTGCCGACTTTATTGTTGAGATGACTTGTCCTCCTGACTCTCAAGTTCCAGACCAAGTCTGGAAGGTATATGTGGATGGAAGCTCTACTTCAAATGGTTGTGGAGCAGGAGTCATATGTTAGTCGCCAGAGGGCGACAGGTACGAGTATGCTTTACGCTTCAGTTTTCAGGCCTCAAACAATGAGGCAGAATATGAAGCTTTACTAGCCGGAATCCGCATGTGCAAGGCGGAAGGAGCAAGAAAAATAGACGCCTGTTCCGATTCACAATTGATAGTGAGTCAGTACAATGGCGAATACGAAGCAACCCATCCGGCCATGATCAAGTATTTACAGGCGGTACGACAGGCGGTCGGATCCCTTGAAGATTTTCGTCTAACCCAAGTGCCGAGATCAGAAAACAACCAGGCGGATGCACTTTCAAAATTAGCATCATCCGCCTCCTGTGATACTCCTCGAACTGTTTTTT